TGATCCTGGTCCAAGGATCAGGGAGCTTGTTGGAAATGCAGTCTTAGGCCCCAATCCAGACCTAATGAATTAGAACTGTACTTTAACAAGATCCCCAGGTGATCTGTATACACATTAAAAATTGAGAAACATTATTTCCCAATTCTTTTTTTTTGGGAGGGGGGTGCTAGGCGCTGGCTGGTACAGGGATCAAACCCTGGACCTTGGCGTTACTAGCACTATGCTCTAACCAACTGAGCTAACCGGCCAGCCATATTTTTTTCCAGTTTAGTCTTCAGTGGACCCATGTGGGAATAGGGCACAGCCTAAAGCTCCTTTTTTTAAAGGACAATTATTTATTCCTCTCTTTCCAAGGCTGCAAGTTGGTAGATTTAAGGTGAACTCAGATTTCTGTAGGAATAATGGTTAAGTATTGGTGACTTACAAAGGGCCCATCCTGGCGACTTCCACAAAGGAAGTTCCATTCAGGAATTTTGTGACTGGCTTTACACCAGACACAGAAGACTATCTGTTTAGACTATCTATTTACATGAAATGTCCAGAGTAGGCAAATCCATAGAGACAGAAAGTAGATCAGTGGTTGTTAGGGGAAGGGGGAGAAGGGAATCTTGTACTAATGGGTACATGTAGTAAATGGGTGAATATAGTAAAAAGCACTGAATTGTATACTTTAAATTGGTATTGAAATATATGTCTTTTTTTTTTAATTTTTATTTTGTCAATATACAATGTATATGATTATTATGGCCCATCACCGACACCTCCCGCCCTCCTCCCTCTCTCCCATCCCCCCCAAGAATGTCCTTTCCGTTTGCTTGTTGTAACAACTATGTGTCATTTTTTTAAAAAGTAGATTTACAGTTTTCTTAAACAATAGTAGATGGATATGAGGCTTACCTTTTAGGGCTCATCTTCTGAAGTTTCCCAAAACAAAATGTCCCCCACCAATGTTGAGACTCCAGTTATAGGCCAGATTTATATTTTCTAGAGGTCACAGTGGTTTATGGATGGAGGTGGAAGGAATGGGCTGGAGAGGGAGGGTCTGAAGACAGGAATATTTGTGGGGGACTAGTTACAAGGCTCTACAGGGCAACAAAAGGACAATTTAGACCAGACGTATCATCCAGAGACAGAGCAAACTACCAGATTTGAAAACTGAGGAAGAGCCTGCTCTGTTTCAAGTACTTTCCTGAAATCCTAGAGATTCAAGCATTTCATTCTTTCAACAACCTTTTTTTTGACCAGGCAGTGTCATCAGGCATTATACGGGATACAAAGATGACCAAGACAAGGTCCCTCTCCTCCAGTAGCCGTGTTAATAAGACCAGGTAGTAATGCTAAGACCTACACAGGGCTAAGTATTGGATAATAAAATGTACCTTGTGATGAGAACCAAAGGGAAGTATATACCTAGAGCTATCAGTGTCAAAGGAGGAAGAAATTACTTCTTATTCCTGGTGTAAGTCCCATCTGATCTTTGGTTGCAGGATGACTGAATGTCGATAGGTTGAGAAGAAGTGAAGAGTATTTTAGTACAGGCAACAGCATGATCAACGGCTGACAGCTGGAGACAGGGACGTTTATTTACAGAAGGATGAATGAGCACTGGCTACAATAGAGATCTGGGAAGAAAAATAAGTTGAAGAAGTAAAGCAGGAAAAATATGGATAGACAAATTATCTTTTGCAAATGGAAAAACTAGGGGCGGGGTGCGAGGAAGAGTCCATAGAAATTTCTGTCTCTTACAGATTTGTACGAATTTCCCTGATTGGTAAATAGCCATTTTGTCCGCTTGGAGGGAAAGTGACTTTTCAAAGAACGTTTTCAGAAAGGCAGGGCTCTCATAGGGTGCTGAAGCTAAAAGCAAAGAAGAGCAAGAAGGCGACTGGCGACAGGAAAGGGCACTGACAAAAATGAGGCAAAATGGGAGTGTGACGACCCCCAAATTCCTCCTTCCCCCATTTCAGCTGAGATCACCCAGCCCATAGATATCTGTCCTATCACCAATAAGTTTGTTTCACTTATAAAATATTAGAATGCACTCGGCTAATAATCCTGGCCAGATAACACCACATTCGTATTTGTTATTCGAATAAATTAATTCAGTTTTTAAAAGGACACTGTTCCTGGCACACAGAAGGCACCCAGTTTGTTTTATAAATGAACGTTGTTTGTTTAGGCTTTATTTTAGAGCCCATATTTTGGCAAGGACATGATTCAACACTGCACCCCAAAACCTATATCCTCTATTAGCGTTGAAGTTGGGAGGATCTGGAGTCAGGAAGTCTAGTTTCCCCCTTTAACACTTAGGTTTCTCGTTCCTCCGTGCGGTACCTCAAGGCAGTAGGTCCCGCAGGGGTCTCATTCAAGCTACCAATCGCGGCGCGACAATGGGGCGGGGCGACAGCGCCCCGCCTTCTCCTTCCAGCCCGCCCTCCCCAACCTTCCCAAGCCCTGCCTTTCTCGCACCTGCGTGTCCCTCGGTGCTCCTGCTGGTGCAACCTCTCCTCGGGGCGCTAGCCGGGAGAGGGTTTGGCCTCGCCTCTCGCGAGATCGCTTCCTGTGGCTGCTGCCGCCGCGCCTGGCCGCTGACTGGCAGCGCCTGCGCAGCCGCCATGTTCGGTTGCTATGCTGCGGCCTGGGAGACGGGGTGTGCTTGAGCTTGAGGCAGGAGGAGGAGAGGGAGGAGGAGGAAGGAGAGGAGGAGAAGCAGGGGGGTGACTGAGCTCCTCTTGCACTCTCACACACAAACGCTGCCCAGGATTGCCCGCCCGCTCACGCCGCGCTGCGCGCTTTTCCGCTGCTCGCGGCCCCCCCACATTGTTCTCTCAGGAACTCCTGGGTCCCCAGGGACTGACTTTGGGCCTGAGCCGGGGAGCGAAGAGACTTGGCTTTGGCCGAAGGGTCGGAGGTTTGGGGCCAGGCCCCCAGCCCGAGCCCCCCTCCCCCCACGGCACTTTTGGGGGGTGTGGATTATCTCATCCCCGCAGGGAGGTGTGAGAGGGCGCCTGCTGCCCGCTTCCCTGCCGCCTCCCCGGCGGCGCCGGCCCGCGGCAGCCCCGCAGTATGAGGTGGTGCTGGCGGCTCCGGGCCGTGGCGCGGCCGCTGCGGCGGTGGCTGCTCGGGGGGCGCTGAGGGAGCCCCTCGGAGCGGCGCGGCGGACGCACTTCTCCCCGGCGCCCCGGGCCTCGAAGCTTCCTTTCTCCAGCCGAGAGGACGCGGCTGTGATACGAAGGTAAGAGGCGCTCAGGTCCCCGCCGGCCTCTCGGCCCTGCACCTTGTTAGGTTACCTGGGGCGTGTGTGGTTCGTGGGAGGTGAGCCAGGTAGGGCAAGCTGGAGGTACAAGGTTTATCTAAAAAGAAGGGGAAGGATGACGCCTTTTCACCTTTCTTTCTGGGACCTGTGCTCTCGGGGATATAGTTGGAATCTCCGTTGTGAGTGAGCGAAAGGACAGGGGATGGAATAGGTGCAGAGATGGAATGTTCCATGGTACCTGCACTCTAGGTAAGGCTTTAGAATCTTCTGAGTTGTCAATTGCTGGTAGAATTTTTTTTTTTTTAATTGTCTCTTATGAGCTCTTCTTGCGTGTTGCATGAGCGGACCATCCCTACCATTGAAGTTTTAAGCCTCATTATTCTACCAGAATATATCTGTATTTAGGAATCTTTAGTTGTGCCCCCCCCCCCAAAAAAAATGTTGAGAAGTAGCTAAATAGACGTAACGATACATACCCCAGGGCTTCCTTAAAATAGAATAGTTTACAGTTGCACAGGTATATGTGTGGATGTTTCCGTGAAACTTAGAATGGGAGACTTTATGTCTGGGCTTGCATCATATAGTGACATCAGTATGTACACGTACGATTTGCAGGATTTTTCAAAGCGCTTGTTCTAGAAGAACCTGTCACATATATGCAATATACTAGCAGCCTTTTGAATAAGAGATTTAAGTAATATTAAGTTTACGTGACCAGATCTTGGGCCCAGTTGAAACAGTATGTACAGCTCGTTGGCCACATTTAAAACACATTTATGGAGAAAGATAAAAACAAAAAGCCAATGTATCCGGCTTGTAAAAGACAATTTGACTAGAAAGAATACTGTGGAGCAGTAAAAGCAAGGGCATTTTTTAAATCCTGGTTTTCTGAACTTTAACATGCCAGGGGAAAAAGATTTTTGTTTGGTGGGGGGAGGAATGACCTTAAAATAAATGATTGTTCAGAGCCGAAAATGTTCTTAATGGAATAGAGCTTGATATATAGCAGTTAAATCTTGAATCTGATGAATATAAATTCAACTCTCTTTTAAAGAAAAAGAAAACTTTTTTTGTAAACAAAAGTTTTTGTATTGTACAGTATCCCTTTATTAACTCATACTAAAAGAGTGTGATCATTTTGCGCACACCACCATTTTTTGTCAAAATAAATTTATGCTCCAGTTACCACAAAAGCTATTTTTTAATGTCTCTCCTTTTTTTTTTATTTTTAATGGCGCACGTATCTTTGTTACATTTGTGTTGAAACCTGTGCATGGTCTCATAATATCATGATCTTGAGTGATTTATAAGAGAAACATGGCCTTTTTTTAGATGGGTGTATTTGTGATTAGGCTAATCTGTTTTAAAGGTTTGGCAAGAGATTCTTAAAACACAAGGAGGCATCACTGTTTTGTAGTTTTTTTTAAAATATTAATTGAGTAGGTTAAAGATTAGTAAACTAGAAAATCACAGATTCCTCAAAAGTAATAATGGATTTTCTTATTGCCTGTTTTCTAACGTCTTAGCTTCTGGGCTGTGGATATTGAATTGTCTCAAACTTGTGTTTTTTTCTTATGTTCTAATTGTCTTTTTAAAATGTCCCTAATAACAATGTTACTTTAAATTTATGACACCCAATTTCTAATTTAGGCGGGGTATAAAACCAGCATTGATTGAACACACTTGCTAAAAATACTTTCTGGGTCGGATGTACTTAAAATGCAGCCTCAGGAAAATTCATTTGAACTATTCTACTGTGACCAATGCACACTTCATTATTATTGAAAGACTTTAAAAAAATTATTGAATCTCACAAATTAGATTTCATCAGTTCAGACGTAGATGTCTAACTTTCTTTTAATGTGTAAAGTGGGATAGTAATAAATTTGTGTGAGCTATTAATAAAAACTTTTTTCAGATTTTTGTTATGTGACACACATAGTCTGTTATTAAATGTCATTTGTATATTGTAAATGTTTTAGTTTTATTCAGTAAACATAATTAATTTGAGTTTGTAAAGTGACAGTACAATGTACATTGTTATCTGTTTAGTTTATTTATGACTTCCAAACTTTAAAAGGGGTATCAGTGGTCATGTTTTTGAGTAAATTATCTTTAAGGAAAAAGGTAAGAGACTACCAGATAATTTCAAGGCGGCACTGTTATTGAGAGTACTTTTACCACCTCTGAGAGTTAATATGGTTACTTTTAAACTAGAAAGCATTTTAGAAATATGTAGAAATCTTAAAAGTTCTGCTTGAATTCTTTGTGTTAGTTATTAGGAATGCAGAATCAGAGAATTAACTAGGAATGACAAGTCTGCGTGACAATGTGGCTAAATACGAATTGCTCCTCCGAAATAAAGTTTAATTATTGATAGAAACTCACCGGCTACAAACTGAGTTGAATTTGGGGTGGGGGGTTGTTATTTCATGTTATGAAGTTTTTTATATGCTATAGGCCATCTTTGTTAAATTTGCTAGCTTACTAGAATAAGCTGTAAAGCCTTGAAGATTGGTCAAGAATTTTGGAAATTCTTTTTCTTGTTTGCCAGGAAAGTACTGTAGGAGGGAGGTACTGTTATTCACTTAATATTCAATTAGTAGTACAGATGATGAGAAGGAATATAATGTAGAAGTACTGTAGAATCTTCTTTATTGGTATGGAAGTAAAGTTGTCTAGGAAAAGCATAATTTATTTCATGTCCTTTGCATGATAAGTCAGTATAGTCAAATATAAAATAAGATGGGGAAAAAAGGAAGGGAAATTTATGACAACCTCTTTCATTTCATTAGAAGCATTTTCCCTCATGTTCATTCTTCATTTTATTATTCCTAAGTAGAAACGCTGGAAGAGAGGTGCAAGTATTTGAAGAAATTAGTAAGAAAAGAAGGAAAATTACATACTGTGGACTATCTTGAGGGAAAGATATTAATTTGGGTGGGTTATTGTGTTTGTATCTTTTAACAAGGAGGTTATATAGAGTAGAAGAAAGAAAAAAGGATTCAAGAGGGAAGAGCATTAATAGTTATTGTCTGCTAAGTGCCAGACAGTGTACAATGGGCTTTCCATGTTATTGCTCTTAATCAAGTACACTTTTTGAGGTGGGTATTAATATCCTGACACCCCACCCCACCCCCAAAAATAGAAACTAAGGGAAATTAAATAGCTTGTCCAGAGTCATACATACTTCTAGTAAGTGGAATGCAAAACAGGTTTATCTGACTCTGAAGCTTATTCTTTAGATCAGTGCTGTTCAATTAAACTTTCTGCAATGATGGAAATATTTCCCTCCCTCCAGCTTTATTGAGATATAATTGACAAATATGATAGAAATATTCTTTTTTTGCCATGTTAGATATGGTAGCCATTAGCCATGTGTGGCTGTGGAGCACTTGAAATGTGATTAGAGTGTCTGAGAAACTGATTTTGTATTTAATTTCATTCAACTTATATTGATAGCTAGATGTGGCTAGCAGCTACAATATTGGACAGCACAGCCTTAGATCTTGCTGCCTAGAAAATGTGAGTTCTAGTGTTTAATCTTCCAGTGGTTTATGTATGACATTAGGTAAGTTATTTAGTTCTTGAACCTCAGTTTAATCTGTTGTGAAAATGAAGGGGTTGCTGCTAAAAGATTGTCCGAATGGTCCCTTTTTTCTCTAGAGTTTTATGATTCTTATTAAAATGCATAGTGGCATTTAGTATTCACAAGCATTATATCTGAAAAGGACCCCTCCTCAATATTTTAACGCCTTACATAAGTAAGGATTTTTGTTTAGTCAGTTTCTCTTATTGAGAAGAATATATGTATAAAGCACACCTAAAAGCTAATGGATTATCCCCCCCCCCCAATTGTTTGGTGAAAATATTGTGTAACCCAAGGTGGTATTTTATGTTGGAACACAGTTTAAATCTTTAAAGACCATGTTTCAGCATGCCACCTTCCTATTTAAGAATAAGCAGAGCTGGCCAGTTAGCTCAGTTGGTTAGAGCATGGTGCTGATAACGCCAAGGTCTAGGGTTCTATCCCTGTACTGGCCAGCTGCAAAAAATAAATAAATAAAAGTATAGCAGTTCCCTGGTGCTTATCAGATTAATTCCAAACTTATCTACTTGGCCTTGAAGACTTTCCACCAACTTCATCTCACTAACCCTGGTTCTTGTTCTTGCTTAAAAAGAAAACATTCTTGTTTTCTCCTCCCCCCTTGTTCTGTCAGTTCAAACGTGCTTAACTCTCTCTAATCCATGTGCCTCCTCTTTATGCCCTCCTCAAATTTCACCTTTTTCTGGAATAATAACTGTTTAATCCAGTCAAAATGATCTGGCTTTAAATCCTGGTAATAAGTACCCTGGGGTTAATATATCTTGTTTAGATATAGTTTAGTACATCTTTCTTAAGTTTTTTTTTTTTTTCCTGCTTCTTAAGTTTGTTACCTATTCTGTTTCCTTAATGAAAATGTAAAAAAATTAAAAATAGGGATTCTTTCTCTTTTATTTTCTTTTATTTTATGAGCTTAGTCCGTTGTTCAATACTGTTTTTAAAAGCTTCTAATTTTTAAAAAATGGTAATGTTTTTTAAATAAAATAAACTGTGACAGCATTTGCTTTTAATTGCCATGCTAAAAGGATATTTTTATTTCCTTCTGGGTAGTTGTCCATATTTTTTTTCTTATAAAGTTATGTAGTAGAGATAGACTTGAGTTTAATATATTGGAAACATTGTATAGTGGAGGACATGCAATGTAGGGAAAAAATTACAGACTTTCGAGTCAGATCTGGTTTGAGATCTGGTCTCAAAAGCCTGGCAAATTATGTAGCCTCTCACCCAGTTGGCCTTGAATTGTTGTGAGGATTAAGATAATATATATAAAGCCTCTAGCACTGTGCTTTTTGTTTGTTTGGTTTTTTTTAAAGATGACCCGTAAGGGGATCTTAACCCTTGACTTGGGTTGTCAGCACCACGCTCTCCCAAGTGA